GCCTCCATCATCATACCCGTCGCAAACATGTCGTTGTTGAATGAATCTTGACTTGGTGATTGTGGTTGAGAATAAAGTGTAGAGAGGGATGGAGCCTGGTGGCAGGCGGACTCGAGCGGACCCGAGGCGAGGAAAAGTGGGCTCATCTGTTCAGACGCCGTACCCGTCGACGGGTGGAAATAGAACGGAGGGGATGAGGATTGGAATGTTTGAGAGGGACTTGAAGTGGCAGTCATCAAATAGTCGTTCATGATCATCTGACTCGTAATCAAAAGCGTATCCTTTGTCGTCTCCTTTGTGCTTTATCGATATCGTGGAGTGGGGTTGATAGCTGAGCCGAAACGCCACAATACAAATGGGGTTTGTTGGTTTCTTTGTTGTCGTTGGATCACAGGACCACCCAATCAACGGGCTTTTTGCTCAAACAGTTCGTAAAATTCGCTGAAATTCCAGTTAGTATAATGATTATAGTGCATGACTGGCCTACTCACTGATGGTCTTGGGTGGGCGTAAGAGACACGGTCGCGTCCAGTCGCTCGTTCGCCTTTTCTATGAATGGGGCACAGGGCTATGCGGGAGCTATGAAGAAGAGAGGGAGCAAACGGCGTAATCCTTCTCTACTGAGATTGATAGCAGATAGACAAGACAGAGATGGACTGGGGGGTCGTTATGAAGGGGATCCGTTCGTTAAAGTCGTCCGTGCTTTATAGTTGGATGGTGGTTGAGGCTAATGCGCCAACCCGATTTGTATAAAGGGGAGAAATAGGAGTGACAGCGGTGGAGAAAGGGCGAGAGGCGTTATTTACGGACGGGCCAACAAAGAGGGGAGTAAAAAAAAGTGAGACATTCTGGACGATCCCCTTTATACTCTCCCCTTTATGACAATTAACCTCACAACCTCACAATTGTGTCGTCGAGTGTGTTTTCGTAAGGATAGGGTCGTTGAGGGTGCGAACCTGAATTGGACAGTGTGCGCGGCAGAATTCAGCGAGTTGTGTTGAGCCGGGTGGGCCAATGGTAGAGCCTCCACGAGGCATGTTGGGTTACAACGAGGCTTATTTCCAACTTTATTTAGCCTCGTCTATACTTCCAAGTATTCTCCATTTGGACAGCATGGAAGTAGAGTGCACGCCCCGACAACAGAGACAGTGTCGCATACAGTAGCCTGACCGTGTAAGTAGGATCAGCAGTACCATGGATGCTGACCATTCCAAATGGAGATAGAGTAATAGTGCCCTACCCCACATTCCACGAAACCCTCTTCTTCGGCGGGGCTACTCCATCCAGTCCAGTCTCTCTCTCATCTCCACCCAAAACACTCCAATGCCATGAGCTATGCCATACTCCTACTAAAACCCTTGCACCAAACTTTTACACTAAACGATGATCCAATGAAGGACAACTTTTAGCCAGGATTAGCCCCGTGGACACTGTCACTATCCAATGTGGCACGCACGACACATAAATTTTCATCAAATTCCTCGATTCGGAAGTCGACACCGACCCGCCGGACGGGACCACGGCGGCTCCAGGTGGCGCTCCCTTTCGACAGTCAGCACCAGCATCGATAAATTCCTCCAAATTGACACCTCTCATAACCCATCGATAGGCTCATCATTTACGCTCTTACACCCGCTGACAACAGTCAAGTTTTTAGAAAGAGTAATGAAAAAAATGCATTGAAAAGAAAGAGAGGAACATTCCATCTATGGACGCATGCACATCATTCGTGTCATACAGACATGCAGACAAGGCGTGTTCATTGGACATGAAAATTTCATTTGAGCCAGGGTCAAAAGAGATCAGCACGACCCATAGTACCACTGCTTGAGGCTATGGTAAGCTAAAAAGCGCACCGACGGCCCTGAGACGGTAAGCCCACCCGGGTTTTCCTCATGCCATTATGACGACAACAGCACCAGTGAGGTGGAAACACGGGCACACGCCAGTCCAAAAATGGACAGATTTTTTCCCAAATGCAAAAACGAGAGAAAAAGAGACCAGAGAGAGAGAAAAGAGGGGTAAGAGAGAGTGTAC